GTTCTTCCCCCCCCCCACACACTACTTTTTTTTTTTGTATATCCCCTGAATTGGTTAGTTACATCAGGGAGAGGCGTTTGCCATTAATCTGGGAACAAACTGCTAACCTCGGTGACTGGTATTTTAGCTTTTCTTTTCTCACTTTTCTTAGTGTGGGGAAAGCAGTAAAGCTTGTGTGGACTGATTGTGAGGGGCTCTGCTGGAATTTGGCAGCCCAAAGGCTTGGAGAGCAGCCCCATGCTGACTCCTATTCAGCGGGCCAGTTTTCCGCGAGCTTTGGAAGTTTCACTCAGCCGTGCACTCAATGGCTTCACAAAGCTGATTACAAGCTTCAGCGCATTCCTGAAGGAGCCAAAAGCGACGCAGGTGCAAACGAGCCGAGGGAGCCCCTTATCCCGGTGACAGAATGGGACAAGCTGGGAAAGGCTTGGACCACACAAATCCAAGGCTCACCAGGCAGCAGCAAGCCTGCCTTGGGAACCGGGGGTCATTATCCGCTCCATTCAGCGGGGACCCAGAAGCAGCAGCACGTACCAGCACTGGGGACAGCTCCCCAGTCCCTCTGTCCCAGGAGACAGCAGCAGCTCTTCACCTGACACCTCCTCCCAGTTTATTCCAACCGCCTTCCCTTTAAACTAGCGCATAGCTGCTACCTTGGGTCTATTCCTCAGCCTCCTTCCGTCTCCCTATTGTAACTCAACGTACAATAGCTTTTAGCCTCACAGTATGAAATATCTATGCTTGTTTTTCTTTAACCCAACACACATGAAATCTCCCTCCCCTCCCCCCCCTCCCTCCTTATATAAAATATTGCTCAAGGATCTAACTTGAAATCCAGCATGGAAAATGAACTGATCCTAAATGGCAGCCTCTTGATTGAAGCTCCTTAACACCACATTTTAAAGTGTGTCTTTTAATGGGGCATTTGAGGGAGAAATATGCAGACCCTGCATCGGTCTCCCCAGCCCTCTAGGTAAATCCAAGTCCCATATAACCTTACTGCAACTGTCAATATCTAGTCATTGTTTTCCTATACAATGAAAGCAGCCCCCAGTCCCTGGCCTGCCTCCTTCCCGAGTGAGTGTGGGGGTGGGGGTGTGAAGGAGTCGAGGAGGGGGCTCTTTCTTGGCTGAAATGAGGCGCTGTTGGATTTTATTTGGGGTTACTCGGAGACGCGCCCTCTCCCCCGTTTCTGATTCCCCTTGCTTTTCCCTCAGCCAGGCGAAGAAGCCGCAGTTTACTTTGCGGTGAAATTAATTACGGCCCTTCCCCGCTATCAATTACTGAGAAATCAGCCTTTCCTGTAGAGAGGAGGAATAATCAAGGGGCTTTCAGTCTGGGGAACCTCGGACTCGAGCGCGCACAATGCAGCAGGGGAATTGCAGGACTGCTGGTCACTAGTTTCATATGCAAATCGGACCAGCCTCCAAGTTACTAGGATGATTTCATTTTTTTTAATGACTGTATTATTGTGTTGATTTTTAACAAGTCCCCCTCCACATGCCCTCCCTTTTCTTACAGCGAGGGGCTCCTTGTTGCTACCTCTTCCTTGGGGCGCATTTTCTCCTGGTTTAGCGGCTGTCCCACCTCCATGTTAATTTCGCCCCATGGAAATGAAGGCAGACTGGCGGGTTGCTAATATTAAAGCGATCTCCCAGTCCCTGGGCTCTCTCGCCCTTGCAGTGGCCATGCCCCTGCATGATCGTGGTGTGCTCCTGGCATGGCAGAGGCATGAAATCTCCCCCTCCCCTCAGCCCAGGCCCTCCCCCTCCCGCTGAAACCCCCAAGTTCTCGTGGTCTTTCCTGGTTGCAGACCGTTGGGGAGGCAGGCAGCGGTGCATTTGCTTGTGTGGAGCACACCGCCTGCAAGCGGTTGCCTTGGCAGAAAGGTGCAGCTTTCTGATGTTCTTTTGTCTGATAACTAATTCAAGTTAATGCGATCTTTATGTAAAGCTAACAGCGGATAATTGTCTATTTTCTCGCCAACAATCTCCATCACAATCACTTATCTGGAAACCTGCGGTTGTATTAATCGCTATATTCCCCGAGATAAGCGTCTCTCGAATTATCAGTAAACACTAGAGGGAAATTAAACAAACTCCAGAGCCACTTAAGTTTCTTCTGCAGCTTTAACCCCATCCATTGCGGGGGGGAGAGGGAGGTAAACAGAAAATCTGGGACCTAAATACAGAGCTAGGTCGCAGTAGATGAGAGGTAGGGGTACAGGGGAGATGGGCCTGATTTTGTTTGTTTGTTTTAGGTGACTTTTGTGTTTGAGAAATACAGCAGCACCCTCTGTTCAGTGTCTGGGGCTCTGCCTTTTGTAGCACGTGGGGCTTTACAGGGAATTCTTGTAAATCACGTAATTAAGTGTATTAGAAGCTTCGGGGAGGGGGGGAAGAAGCTAGGAGATAATGCATCGAGGGATTAAGAAAAGTTGTATGGCTTTAGTTGGGTTATACCAAGGAGGAAGGAGTCCCTCCTTCTGAAAATTTCCATATTAGCAAAATTTTGGCAATATTTATACTAGAGAGTTATTTAAACCCCAGGAGAAAAAGAGCGAGAGAGTGAAACTACGGTGGGAATATGTTTTACTGCTTAGATCCCATCAGTTCTGTTAGGTGTAAAGAAATTATAGCAAATTGTTCTGGAAACCCCTCAAGGGAAAACATACTCGTATGGCAAAGATTTTGTCTTTTTGAGATGAAGTCAAAACAGCAGTGTCGAAAGAAATTTATTTTAGGGGTAGGAGTGTGTATGTGTGTGTGTGTGTGTGAGAGAGAGAGAGAGAGAGAGAGAGAGAGAGAGAGAGAGAGAGAGAGAGACG